CAACTTTCCCACTTGAGGTGGCTCGCAAACACATGCAAGTTGATGCTCTCAATGGGAGACATTACAAGAACTTGCTTCATGCCGTTTCAAGCATACTCGAGAAGGAAGGGGTTCCTGGTCTGTACAGTGGGTTGGGGCCAAACTGCATTAAATTGGTCCCTGCTGCTGGAATTTCTTTCATGTGCTATGAGGCATGCAAGAACATCCTTGCCAAGGAAGAAGATGATCCATAAAGATGGGAAACGCAAATTCTGAGGTATTTACTAAGACACATTAGATTTATTTTCCAGCTCATACAGTTTTTGGTGAGAGAGAATTTCAAAGCAAAATAAGAGCAGTATTTTCTTAATGTGATCCTGTCTAGTTTATGTTCTTCCATAGGATTTGGTTCAAAGATCATATCTGTGAAACGAAACTTAAATTGGGCTTTTTTTTTTCGCTGCATTGATCGAGTTTATTTCAAAGAATTGAGATATCTGATGTTTGACAGGCTTTTGAAATGGAAAATCTGGAATGTTAGCTTCCATACATTCCTCATTTTATTTTCTATAATTTGATCTAGCAACAAGTAACATGATAGAACAATAATGCTACTCAACATATTTTCTTACCAAAATAATGACAGATTTCCATTGACAAGAGTTTTTTAGAGGAGAAATTCAAGAGCTGAAAGTTTCCAAAATTTGATCAGTATCCAAAACCCGAACCCTCAAACAAAGTCAAATGAAAAATTAAAAATAAAATAAAAATAAATGCAGAACAAATAATATATTTACCCATGATTTTCTTCACTCATTTTTTTTTCCCACCAGTGTTCATGCATTTGTCGTAGTTGCAAAGATACAAAAGAACAAACATATCGCATGGGGTCTATATATGTTTTCAAAACCATATGACAATGAGACAATCACAGGACTGAAGCCACTGCACTATGCACATATTGGGAAGTAAGCACAGATTTGGAAACTAACAAGCTCGGTTGGATAACATTTTTTGTAATTACAGCATAATTTTCAGAGCAAGAAACTTGGGTAAAACAGTAACGTAAGCTATAGGAGCATTCTGATCTCATTTCGGTTAAGCTAGATTCCAAACATTGTCGACATATGTATTTGTATGAACATGAAATATCCCAACAAGCTTTAACATGATACTTCCCAAGGTACATCATCATTTAAACTTTGCATTGATAAACAGATAGAACGTGCAAGTCAATAATGGAAGTTGCTAATAGAAAATTCAATAATACATACACCAAAGAATGTATAATTCAAAAACACCATTATCATGTCAAATGTGTTCAGCAGACAAGACATAAGAATCAAATAACAAAATCTAATACTGAACAGATGAAGTTCATTTCCGCAATCCTAAAAAATATTCCCAAACAGCTACCAAGATCATTCAGGAATAGTACCTCTGATATCTGTAAACAACTAAAGAACTAGTTGAATTAATTGCATTACCTAACTACAGACAGTAAAACCAACAAAACTTGAGTAGGCAGAGCCCCTTTCAGCTCTGCTCATCACCATCTGCAGCAGCCCTCTCCTCTGCAGCAGCTGCCATTAATTCATCAAAGTTCTCTGTCTTCCCCAGCAATATCTCAATCTAAGAAGCAGAATTCCAATTGATGTTAAACTCAATAGTACATTGTACAACTTAGTATAAATGATTACAGAGAATGGAACCTAGAAACCCACTGTGTAAACCCCCTTTATATCACCAAGTCCAACAGCAAACAGATGAGTAAATAATTAAAATCACCCCACAAAATCCATATGCAGCAGAGAAAAATACATGAAAGGGCTGCAGAGTCATACTATGTAGGCGTACATAAAAAAAAAAAAAAAGGCGTATCTGACCCAAATCCTAGACATACACCACATTACAAAACTTACCTTGGCTTTAGAGATGGGACGCCCTCTCGATTCATCCTTCATATCAACATTAGATGTCATGATCTCTGCAAATTATGATCATTAGGTTTGCGGAGAAATACGAAGAGTAATCAACTTTCTCTTTTCTGAAAAATAAACTATCAAAAGTCTTACTCTTCTCAACAGCCAATCCATTGTGTTTTAAAAGTTCAGCAACGGTGACAACTGTGGCAATAGCTGCAGATATGACAGTATGAGCTCATCAAAAACGGAAAATACCATAAAGAAGCTATAGACTACTGTAAGAGCCTAGTTTTCTGCAGATGATATCTAAATAAAATTAGCATGGATATCATGCACATGAAATTATTTCTGATAAATTATCTAGAAAGCACAACTATACGATTTTCACTCACCCTCAATTAAGAGGATGGAAAGAGACAAAATCAAATTTTGGACGTTCAAACTTACACAATCCTTGGAGAGAAATATATATTATTTTCATGCAATACACACACACGAAAAAATGAAAGCCAGACATTTAAACTTTTTAATTATGCAGCATAAAACTATACAGATTTCACGAGGGCTACAAAAGAGAGAGGGGTGATGGGGAAGAGAGAGATGAAATAGACATAAGAAGAATAAAAGATGGGGATGGGCACAATACCATTTGTGAAGGCGTTTTGGTAGGACACTATCAAACCTTGCATCCACACGTGCACTCATGTACTAGGGATGGGCAGGCGAGAGAGACGAGACAAGGGGGAGGAAAGAAGACAACAAATAGACGAAACCAACAAATTGTGGGGGCTTCAATCCTTGCAATGCAGGAACAATGCAAAGCCATGGCTCACCTTGCGATGTCACCTAGAGGCTCATAAGAGGTGGTTGTGGTTGGGAATGTCCGAAACAAAGGTGCTAGCTAGTTCTGGTGCCAATTAGTCCTTATGCTGCAAGGGTTGACGGTACCTCATGTGTCCATGGTGTTGCAAGAAGATGAGTAGTCTTGGTGCCACATGCGTTCCACCATACCACTTCTTCCACAGGCACCACTAACTAACTTGCTATTCCTATCCGAGAAGAGAATGTGGTGGATAGTGCAAATCGCGTGCCTCTTAAAATACGTATTTAAAGAATATACAAGTTTCATCTTCGTTGTTGAATCTTACATGTGACTATGCTGTACAGGTGACACACATTATAAACACCTCATTTGCTCACCAATCAAAAGGGAAAGGATTATTATTCATTCAATTCAGAGACGCGTCTCTCTACACGATATCTCTCTCTAACATGGGGTCTACTCTCCCTTATCTCTTCTACTTCAACAAATTAACTTTTCTCGAGCCTCTTTGGAAAGACATGTACAAATCCTAACACTTGGTTCTATCAACTTAATATTTCAAGTCATTCTGCTGTTCCAAGGACCAATAGAGAAATGAGTTTCATGCTTTAATAACGTTTACAATATCTGTCTTCTTCTTTAACCTTCTCACTGAGGGACACCCAGAAAAACAAAAACATATAGAAGTTTCAGGGGAAAAAAACAATCAATAGACTTATGGACACAATACCTGCGATAAAGCAGAGTAACACTGGAGAAAACAATAAATACACTTACACACATAATATAACCCCCAACGTGATAAATAATGAAAAATTAACATAACAAGAGGTTTAAACTACACAAGCTATTGTCGGAGAAAGAAAAAAAAAGAAAAAAAAAGAAAAAGTACCCATGCCAAGAGCTGAAAGTTCCACCTCATTTTACTGTTGCATCTACCTCTGCAATCACAAATCCAACACAAATAACCCATTAACTCAATACTTTACCACAAAATAGAAAAACAAAGCTAGGGAGATATAAAACACCAATCTCACTCATTCCAGCCCATAACCTATACCTAAACTCCAGATCCAAAAAAACAGAACCCAGATTCTATTTTTTATGGATTAACAAGAACCCCAGACTTTTTATTGATGGATAATTCAAAACCCAAATTTCATATGCATCCATATGTATTGTGTGGATGCAATTAGGAAGAGAGAAGGGAAGAGATACCTTGGCGATATTGCCGTAGAAGAACAAGGGTTTCTTGGTGTTGGAGACCTGAATCCGATTCTTATTGTACGAATCGCCGGTTAAGGTGACGTTGGTCACTCCGTCGGTTATCTCTTCCATCTCTCTCTCTCTCTCACACACACACACACAAACAAACGCAGAGGATTGATAAAATCTTTATAACAGACAAGAAAAAACAGTTAGCGTCAGGATGTGGGCAAGGACGGAGCTGTTAGTGGGCTGAAACCAGGATAAAGAAAGAAAAAATTTAGTAATAATTGGAAGTGAGTTCCTACGTGAAGTTATTTTGGAGATAAGTCCCGGAAGAATATTTATAATGAGTTAAATTTATATTTAAAATTATATGTACAGACTTAAGTCTATTTTTTTTTTTTTTTAAAAATACCCTTCTTTGAAAGAAAGTTAATATTTTTTTTCTCATACCTACCTATATTCATATCATATATAAGTTAGGAGTTTATATAATATTAAAAATTTTTCTCTCTTTTATATATATATATATAGTAACATTAAAAATATAATATAATAATATTTAAATACAAAAAAAAGTTATTATGAATTTAAATAGTAAAATTAAAATTCATGTTATTATTTTTTTTATTATGTTACTATTCATGTTACTATTATTTTTGAATATGTTACTATTTTTATTGAGCATATTACTATTATTATTTTCCTAAATATTAATATTCAATATTACTATTTTTTTTTGAATATTACTATTTTTTATATTTGAATGGTACTATTTTTTGCACTTGAATTTGAAAGAAATAATTATTGTTAAGTATGTTATAGTTTTTATTAAGCATGTTACTATTTTTATTAAACATGTTAATATTTTTGTTGAACATGTTACTGTTGTTATTTTTTAAAAATATTAATATTGAATATTTTAATATTTTTATGTTTAAATGTTACTATTTTTTTGTATTTAAATGTATTATTTTTTGTGTCCAAATGATAAATTTTTTTTGTATTTAAATTTACTATTTTTTATTTTAATGTTACTCTATATTATATATATATATATATATATATATATATATAATATATATATTTAGAAGTAAAATTTTAATGTTAGTTAAACTCTTAACCTATATATGGATATAGATAGATATGAGTGAGAAAATATTTTAATGCTAGTCAAACTCCTAAAATTTAGGAGTTTTTAATTTTTTAGTTTTATTTCACTTCTAAAAAAAATGGATAGCATGATAAAATTAACAAAAAACGGACTTTATAACAAATAAATTTTCTTAACAAATTTAAATACAAACAAGTCCATATAAGAGGACCGACCTCCAAATTTATGAAAAATTTATTAGAATCAACCCAACCCAGCCCGACATACATTTACCAACCTTTTAGTTGATGGAACTAATCTGTCCACAAGACTCTCCTTTCCCAACAGTAGTAATCCGGAGACTGCTGGTGGGCTATAGTCAACGACCAACGCCCTTGCTTGAGTAGACTTGATGCCCGGTAGTTATGATGATTTTTGAAAAAATCAATTGAGATCATCTCAATGAATTTTCAATTTTTCGAATATCATCTTGAATTCTTTGTGCCGAATTGTAATCTCTTTGCTCGGAACTTTTGGAATGTTTTCAACTCTTGATTCCACTTTAGAGGTGTCGATTAATACTCCAAAGGGAGTTTCTGATTGACCCATTCTAGTTTGAGTTATTTTTTGGTGTCTTTGGTGACCTGTACTATCTCTTTATTGGGAGTCTTTGGAATGTTTTCAACGTTGAATTCCACTTCAGTGGTGTTTGATTAACATTCTAGATGGAGTTTGTGATTGACCTATTTTAATTTGAAATATTTTAAACTTTTGATTTCACTTCAGAGGTGTTCGATTAACACTCCAGAGAGAGTTTGTGATTAACCCATTTCAGTTTGGGTCGCTTTTTAGTGTCTTAAAATGGATGTTTGTGGAAGATGCATTATTAAGAAAGTCATTGTTATGCTTGTATTTTCTGTTTGCTTGCCATATTACATTGAGATTTCCGTTTGTACAAGAAGTCTCATCATTTTTAACAAGCTTTTATATTGTCATGTTTTCCGTTGTTTGTTATGGCCCTCGGTTGTTTCTTTTGTTTTTTTTACTGAAAAACTTGAATATGGGTTGTTGTCAACGATAAAGAATGTACCAAGATGATATTCTGATGCGGTCAATAAGGTCTCTGTGTTGATTTTTCCCGGCCAAAGAGTTGATGTACTTGAAAGTTTAGTCTGCCTACAGAAAATGTCTGATCATATCAACTAAAAGTTTATGAGTTTACATTTGTATTATTGTATATATGTTTACGAGTTTATATTTGTGTTTTTTTAGTCATATGAATGCTTAACTTAACACGGGATAAACAAAAATTATGGCTCTATCTTTGGATGTAGGCACTTAAACTTAAGGCGGTGTGTGTGTGTGCGTGCCTCCGAGTGATCGTGTGTATCAAATATCCATTATTACAAAGGAGATCCCACATGATAATATGGGCGTGACATCGTTGATAAATAAATAATGTAAGTCGATAAGTATTTAAATAAGATTTACCTAATTCACTTGGTGTTTTATTATTGATCAGTGATATTATTTTAACATTACTGATATAATATCGCCGTTGCATTGAATATTTCCTCTAGAAATAGATTGGTGAAGCAGAGTTTTTAATTTATATCTGAGTCTAACTAAATTTAATTTGAATTATTTGAATTCATATAATTATTAATAAAAAATAAAAGGGTCAATAGGTCATTATTATTTTTTCCTAAATTTATTTAATGGTAGATCATTCACCATATATTTATGTGGAACTCATTATTTATATGTAGACCCTTCACTTATACTATACACGATGGATAATCTACCATCTAGTAAAATTGTGAAAAAATATTAGAGAAAATTTAAATTTCATCAATTGTGAGGGGGTAGACTCGTAATAGCTGCTTTTTTTTTAATTTCTAATTTGGCCCTCATCTGGGTTTTTTTTTTTTTAATCTGTTTCTATTTTCCTTTTTATTTTTTTTTGTGCTTGTACCCTGTTTCTGTTTTTTTAATCTACCCTTGTTTTTTGTATTTAAATGTATTATTTTTTGTGTCCAAATAATAAATTTTTTTTGTATTTAAATTTTACTATTTTTTATTTTTAATGTTACTCTATATATATATATATATAATATATATATATATATATAATATATATATATATATATATAAGAGAAGTAAAATTTTAATGTTAGTTAAACTCTTAACCTATATATGGATATAGATAGATATGAGTGAGAAAATATTTTAATGCTAATCAAACTCCTAAAATTTAGGAGTTTTTAATTTTTTAGTTTTATTTCACTTCTAAAAAAAATGGATAGCATGATAAAATTAACAAAAAACGGACTTTATAACAAATAAATTTTCTTAACAAATTTAAATACAAACAAGTCCATATAAGAGGACCGACCTCCAAATTTATGAAAAATTTATTAGAATCAACCCAACCCAGCCCGACATACATTTACCAACCTTTTAGTTGATGGAACTAATCTGTCCACAAGACTCTCCTTTCCCAACAGTAGTAATCCGGAGACTGCTGGTGGGCTATAGTCAACGACCAACGCCCTTGCTTGAGTAGACTTGATGCCCGGTAGTTATGATGATTTTTGAAAAAATCAATTGAGATCATCTCAATGAATTTTCAATTTTTCGAATATCATCTTGAATTCTTTGTGCCGAATTGTAATCTCTTTGCTCGGAACTTTTGGAATGTTTTCAACTCTTGATTCCACTTTAGAGGTGTCGATTAATACTCCAAAGGGAGTTTCTGATTGACCCATTCTAGTTTGAGTTATTTTTTGGTGTCTTTGGTGACCTGTACTATCTCTTTATTGGGAGTCTTTGGAATGTTTTCAACGTTGAATTCCACTTCAGTGGTGTTTGATTAACATTCTAGATGGAGTTTGTGATTGACCTATTTTAATTTGAAATATTTTAAACTTTTGATTTCACTTCAGAGGTGTTCGATTAACACTCCAGAGAGAGTTTGTGATTAACCCATTTCAGTTTGGGTCGCTTTTTAGTGTCTTAAAATGGATGTTTGTGGAAGATGCATTATTAAGAAAGTCATTGTTATGCTTGTATTTTCTGTTTGCTTGCCATATTACATTGAGATTTCCGTTTGTACAAGAAGTCTCATCATTTTTAACAAGCTTTTATATTGTCATGTTTTCCGTTGTTTGTTATGGCCCTCGGTTGTTTCTTTTGTTTTTTTTACTGAAAAACTTGAATATGGGTTGTTGTCAACGATAAAGAATGTACCAAGATGATATTCTGATGCGGTCAATAAGGTCTCTGTGTTGATTTTTCCCGGCCAAAGAGTTGATGTACTTGAAAGTTTAGTCTGCCTACAGAAAATGTCTGATCATATCAACTAAAAGTTTATGAGTTTACATTTGTATTATTGTATATATGTTTACGAGTTTATATTTGTGTTTTTTTAGTCATATGAATGCTTAACTTAACACGGGATAAACAAAAATTATGGCTCTATCTTTGGATGTAGGCACTTAAACTTAAGGCGGTGTGTGTGTGTGCGTGCCTCCGAGTGATCGTGTGTATCAAATATCCATTATTACAAAGGAGATCCCACATGATAATATGGGC